TTGTTGGTCACTTTTCTACAAATGTACGATTTTAGCTGTGAGACGTTTTCCAGGCTGAATTATAGTAACTTTGTTTTTTTTATATTTAGACAACTTTGTTCCTTTTGATACTACTACATAATAAATATAGATACATTTACAATATAGATTTATGATATTTTTTCCCCCATATCCTTCCTGAACTTTTTCACGAGACGAAACGTATTCGTATATGTGATGTACGATTTTGGCTGTGACTCACTGTACGTGTGTTCAATTTTGGTCGACTAAAAGGCTAAATCGGTCACTGTGCGTCTTTTTTCTGCCGGATATTAGCAACAATGTATCTATACAGTTATTTGGCACAGACAAATTTTTTATTTATCTCCCACGTATTTTTTTTCCAGTCGATTATGAACCGTTAGCGGTGCAAAATATATCTTTGTTAAAACTAGAGGTGGATGAGAAAAATGGAGATCATTTACACGCCGATATTGCTTTTGAAGCAGCAACAGGTAATAAAAATGCGTCTGCAGGTGACAAGCGACATTTTTTTACGTATTTTATACAATTTAATCTCTTTAATTCTGCATTACGAGTGCTGAAAATTATACATGAAAGATAATCATTTTCTGACAACTGGAAATTACGTGTTGGCTTTAAATTTCTTATAACATTTTTAATACCACGTTCGATGACAAAAATGTGGATGCTTTGTGCAGAACTATTTAAAATTTAGTTCTTTCAAAACGTTCTTACGTATCGCGTTTAGAAATAAGTTATTATTGCTTCATACATTTTTAGATCGTTTATATTTTAGGTATGTTTAATTTGACATGTTGAATACACGAACACGTGTTAATCAACATTTAATGGATTTGATAAAAATAAAAGGAAAGTATTGTATATCCGAATACAATTTGAAAATACGTAAACATATTACAATTTCAGATCGAAGTTGCGATTATTATATATTACTTTGGAGTGAAGAACATAATTTAAAAGATTATGACTTGAGGAAGGTAGTTCTACTTATCACTGATATTATATCATGACTATCACGCGAAAACTGATCCTTTCGTTTCATAGGTAAGAGTCTTTCAGTTCTCAATAGGACAACTGGAATTCAATACAAATAATACTGTACACATCTTATCGGTTAACGAAGTTGGTGCAAAAATGAGCCCCAGAACGGCTATGGTTATCTATACGCCACCTTGTGTGGATTATTACAATTTAACCATTTGCGGTGAGAATATTCATTTTCAATGTTATGATTTTGTGAACATTCGCGAACCAATCATCGCTAACACTTTGTCGAAACTTGCTTGACACTTTTTTCACGTTTAGCGTATTAAATCGTATTGATATATTTAATTATTTTTAATGGCACGATAATGTGAAATATGGTTTATACGTTCATTAAAGATTCCAAGCGAAGCTTTCATACAAATTCAGTATCTTTTTAGCTCCTGACAATGTGAAAGGTTTACAAACTGAACACATTTATCGTTACGGAGAGTTCTACGATCTTAATATCACTTGGGATAAACCGAATCTAGAACCGGACAATTATACAATAGAAGTTCAAAGAAAGGAGGAATATGATCTGTTAACTAAAATTGTACCTGGCGTGAGTAAATCTTTTTGATTCTTTGTTTCACTCTGGATGTTAAATATTAATAACGGAAAATAGCATCTGATTTTGACTTAGAGATATTAAATAATATATGTACTTGTTAAATTTTTATTGAAATCTTCAGCGTGTGTCTGATAAAAACATTGCAAGGTAGACGGTTTATTTCGATGTCATTCGTTCAACCCTTATGTTGATAAATGAGAAGGAATATTAATAATCTTCTTTACAAATGAATAGGTTTCATTTAATTTATTTAATAGATTAAAAGAATTAGATTGTCCGATCGAACTATTTTATTTCTTACAGAATAGAACTGATGTTATATTTTCCAATGTAAAACTTGATTCCTATTACGAAGTGAGCATTTGCGCTGAGTCATTAGGTGGAATGAGCGGGATAACGTCAATCCTAAGACGTGTCGCCGGTAATGAAATATAATGTAACCTCTGTGTGTATTATATTAGTATTATGACAATATATTAAATTTACATAAATTTAATGCATGTATAAATTGTTATAATGACAGTCCACAAAATTATTAGTATTGTAATCGTTATTTTCTGACAGCTGTGTTTTGAATCACTCGTAACTTTCTTGTCGCAGTTGTAAACGAATTCTCTAACAAGGTAATGATAGTGACGATTGTGGTGATCACGGGTGTTGTGCTGTTTATTGGTGTAATTTATTTCCAATGTTACAAACGTAGAAACAAACACTTTACCATGGAATGCACGCATTTCGAGGTCAGTGTGCGAAAATGCTTCCTTTAATACGAGAAATTCGTTGTCAATATTATAAAAGTATTTGTTTTAACTAACTAGTTAACACATTGTATGCGGGAAACGTAAAAGTACTATCTTCATGTACCGTAGTACTAAAGTACTAAATAAATACTTGTATAACTTCATTAACATTTTTGACAAAAGTAGATAGTTGATTCCTTTTGCGTATGATTGAAAGTATTTCTATTTGCAATGGAAACTCTCGAAAATATGTTGAATAATAAATAAATGAATTGAATGTAACTGATATAAGTCGGAATGAACAAAATGGCCGGCACACAATGTGTTCCTAATAGTAGCTTTGGTGCTTTCACGGCTTCGATGTTTTCACCTTAAACAACCCTTAATAATTCATTGTTAAAATTTTTTAAAATACCTGTAATGTAGAATTTCGGTCAAAAGAACCAAGCCATAGAAACTGACATGAAACTGCTGCACACGGATTACGATACCGAATTTAATTGTAGTCGTTTGGTACACGACAAATACGAATTATGTCCAAAATTATTGAAGCTCAATCATGTAATCGGAAGTGGAGCTTATGGGGTTGTAAGACTAGGTTCGTTACAAGATAAATTTGGGAATTCAACCGATGTTGCAGTTAAAATGTTGAAAGGTGCAAGAAATGATTGTTTCGAGAAACAGTTTTAGAAACTGTATTGTCAAATGAATTTAAGGCAATTGAAGATTGTTATATTATAGAGAATCCAAGCGTGCAAGATATAAAAAATTTTCACAAAGAAATATTAATAATGAAATTCGCTGGACATCATCCAAACATCGCCTCGTTGATTGGCTGTTGCTTTTTGTATAATAAACCAGTCTTGGTCGTGGAATATTGTTGCAAGGGAGACTTACAGACTTATCTCAGAACAGTGAGTTATCCATCGTTACCTCTGTTTTTCAGAGGTTTTTAAAAAATCTTTTAATAAATAATTTTCAGATTTGGCAAAACATGATAGGCATTGCCTTTACTCACGGAGAACCGTTCGGACGTGATGTAAATTCGTTTACAGACAGCGGCATAGATCATTCTTCGAACAATTCAGGTATTTATTATTTGTTCCTTTATGGGCCACATAAAACAATAAATTAATTAATATCTGTCTGGGTATATTTTTATTTTTCATCTTTTCTTGCGTCAATAAGCTGGAAATGGGCCCAATTATCAAAATGTTAATGTAATTGTGAATCGTCTGTACGATATCCAACAAGGTAACTTACATTTTTGTGTTTAAAATTATATATTTATATGGATATTTTCTGTCTTGATGGTTACTGTATTTCTTCGTTACAGATGTAGCACGATGTACAGAAACCGTATCTGCACTTGACTTATTGAACTTTGCAAGGCAGATCGTTACGGGAATGGTAAAGTATATTTCCATTTTCATTAATATGTATATTTTCAAAGTATAATTTTCATTTTTAATCGCATTGTATGTTGAGTTCAGTATATATTAAATATGCAGATAAAAACTTTAATTTATAAGATTAATGAAAATACTTCTACTATTACCGTTGAAAATATACAATACGAATAAGAATATGAAATCAAGATTAACAATATAAATTTGTAAATGTTCATTTTATTCACTTTTACATAATTTTTCTTAAGAAGATGTAATTGACAATAATTTATTTTGGAATGACTTATCGTGTTGTAAGTTTCATTTATTCTTAATAATTAAATAATAATTTTCAGGAATTTCTATCTTCCAGTCGAATAATACATCGGGATTTGGCTGCGCGCAACATTTTAGTCTGTGCAGGCGCAATTGTAAAAATTTCTGACTTCGGCCTCAGTCGTGATGTTTATCAAGAAAATTTGTATAGAAAACAAGGGAATGGGAAACTTCCCTTAAAATGGATGGCAATTGAAGCTCTAACGCATCAAATTTATACGACTCAAAGTGACGTGTAAGTTATTTGGAAAAGATTTTCTAAACAAGTAGTAAAACATTTTAATCATTGAAATACTTTAATGAATAGTAGTTTATATAACAATTAAGATACCTATTGGTATCTCCACGTTACTAAAGATTAAAAGAAATCGTTAGTTATTAAAAAACTTTGCTTTCTATTTTTGTCTTTCTTCATTTATACAAGTAAATACGTTTCCACCTTTTTTTTAATTGAAAAATCCTGCGTAAGTTTCTTCTTAACACACGTATAATTCTTCTAGATGGTCTTTTGGTATTTTACTGTGGGAAATTGTTACAATGGGCGCTCATCCATATCCTGACGTTTCTATGAATGCGATTTTGAAGTTTTTAAAATCAGGCTATAGAATGGGACGGCCATTCAATTGCAGCGTTGAACTGTGCGTAAAATATCCATTCGAATCCTTTTCAGAACTTCTTTGAAATGTAATCGTATGATAGTTATTTTTCAAAAGCTCCAAAGATTCAATAAGAAAGAAAGTGAATTTCTCAACTGTACTTATTAACTGAGGTCTTAGACATTTTTACGCCACATCAACATTGTTGTGGAACACTGAAAGATGGATAAAATGTTCGATAAACTGTTGATATATTTATTTTGCTTATCGTAGGTACGACATTATGCTCTCCTGTTGGAACGTAATACCACAAAGTAGGCCCACGTTCACTCAACTGGGAGAACGTTTGGACACGCTGATTTGCGATCAATCCGATAACGAATACTTGATCATAGATAAGATTTTGTGCGACGATCAAGATCAGTACCGGATAATCGAAGAATAAACTCGCAAACTTGTGCAACAGTAAAATCATGAGAAATCATAGCATGCGAGTTAAGTACATAATGCATTATTTAAACGACACGAAAAAAAGAAAATGTAGAACAAGGTACAACCGTCCTCCATGTCGACGGTTCGAAGTATGTATTACCATGTGCAAAATGATTTATTTTCTAATTATACGTACAATAATCTGTGGTATAACTTCTTTCATATACATATGTGTGTATATACAATATCTTACTCTCGACCTTAACATATTGCGTACGGGTCACAAGATATCTCGTATATAGCAAACCGAACTTTGCGGCCGGGTTACAAAGTAATCTCGTTTTGTTTTTTCATGCGCGCGTATCGCGACTCAAGAAATTTGAAATGAACTGTTTTTCCCGTTACGTTAGAAAAAATAATAATTAATCGATTTAATTTTATTTGTATAATTAATAATACTTAAAATGTGAAAGAAAGAAACATATAGTAATATTTAAGAATACTTTACAAATGTGAATTCAAAAAGTGCCTATATGCATTGCACAAAGTTTTTTTGGAACGCTCAGAAATATGCGGGCACTGAAAGCGCATTAAGCGAGCAGAGTGCCGTACGCAATGTGTTAAGAACGCAGGCGCAAAATACATAAAAATAACTAAGGCTCTCCCGTGTTTCTTCGTAGTTACTTGTCTGTCAGTAACAATATTACACGCAGCATGCACAAGCATGCCAATTCTCTTGTTTACTTCTTGTTTTCTCCTCATTTACTCGATGATTAATGATCGTTCCTCTGATCATTGTGTTCATTCAACCGATCCATTCAAGAGTCTCCTTTACATTTTTGTTCCTAAAATCGATCGACGAGTCGAGCGCGTGCAAGCAAACGAAAATTGTTTAGTGCAGTGCTGCAAGGGAAACGAATGACTCTACGAGGAACTCGGTAGCTCGTCGGTCTTATAAATGTTGCAAATATAGAAGTTTCTGTCGGTTTAGAGGAACTGTATCATGTTTTGTTTGCTGTCGATTGCTTCCATGGATGCCGAAGACGCCCGACTGGTCGATCAGCAAGTAGCAAAAGTCTATTACGAACGGTGGACATTCCTAAAGCAATTGAAGAGTAATGCAACATGCGGTATTGTATCGAAGCTGCACGGATGTTCAAGACCGTTGAATCGATCGCCCTGTTAGAATACTAGAAATTGATATGAAAAGGAGAATTCTTTTCTCCTTCCTACCCAAAGAACTCTATCTAACCCCTATTTAACTCTAAACCAAGGAACGCTATGCGATAATAATCGTTTTTCGAATATAATAATCGCCGAAAAGTTTTAGCGCTTTTTCGGTCTGAAGCGTAAATTAAGAATAGCGGTAAACATAATACAAATATAATACATAACAATTTAAGAAAAAAACAAACAAGAAAGGAGCAAGAACACACGCTTCACGGAAACAATGAGCAAAGTGTACGCTCGACTCTCCGGTTACGGTGATCGTGTTCGTCTAAAGCTTCATTTGCAATCGTTTATCTTGTTAGCAGGCATTCTTGGTGTTTTTGTTTCTTTCATAGAAAATTTGTTAAAAAATCAATGGACATGCGAACCACTATGAAAAAGTAACAGTATGCCGTATGTATACAATAAAATGGTTACCTCGAATCCTTTCTAAGTATAAAATAATGGATCGTATTTGTTCTTCTATTTATATGAATAGACTTAAAACGTTTCTCGATAAGAATTTCTCGATGTGTTCGAAATAAGCGAATACATTTTGCTGTACCGGAAAATGCGATTATGTAGTTTGTAAAAGTTTGGAGGGAATGTAATATGTACATAAACGTTCCGTGTAATGGCTACGATAATGTGAGAAAAGTAAAATGGCGGTGATATATACAGTTGTGAACATTCAAAATTTTGACTGAATGAATATCGCGGTAGGTTGTAAATATCTAAACGTCTTTCAAGAAGTACTAATCGCATTTAGATACAGCAACAATGCTTCAAACATTGCATACGTTAGTTTTCCGTTCGAAAGGAATGTGAATCCTTCAACTCATATCTCCTTCATATCAGAAAAACAATTCACGCACATGGTTACCCATTACATTCTCATCACGATTAATATGCTATCACAGAGAAAATTGTTGCACTACATATGAAAGATTCTGTTCTACGTATTTTCCTTTTTTTTTGCTGGTCTTAATTTTAATTTTGTAAGGGGATGTAAAATCGTTTCTCCGATCTTTAAAGAGTACAAGTTACTTATTCTCATTAGAAGTTTGATAAACGAATCTGTGCCTTAATCTCTCATACGATACAGATGAATTCACTCGACAACGTAAGTTCGTTTTGATGGTAAGCAATAAAAAGTTGCGTCGGAAGAGTTGCTAAATTACAAAATAAGTGTCCGTTTACAAAAACCGTTGAAAATCGACACAAGAGATTTTTCTCGTTCAGATGTGTATTTTCCTAGAAAAATTTGTTTAGTAATAGACTTTCATTGAATACTATCTTTTGCCACACATTAACGCCGTAAAGAATGACATTACTTACATGTAATTTGCTTATACAGCATAATAAAGAGTATCATTATATTTATATATGTATATATATATATATATGTATATATATATATATATTCATAATAATCTTAATATAAATGTAAATTTAACAAAAACATTCGATTGATAAATTCCTTAGTTTAAGGACCCGAAAATCACAGGCAATGTAGTCTTTACACCGGTATGACATACCGATAGGAATTTCAGGATCGGCATTTTTACCTGCCTCTTGTATTTACTTGCGATGCTACCTATATCAGATATTATCGTTCCTGTTAATTAAGCTATCTTCTTTGTCCACTGGTGGTGGACCGGTGGTTATAGTGGTACTTGGACCAGCCGTTAAATAACCAGCAGACACCGGCGTTCCAGCTGTATATTATAATTTTACATTGAAGTATATTGTCGTACACATTATTTAAGTTGTTAATTACTTAATGTTAGTTAATATAAAACATTTGTATATCTTACCAGTAAGGTAACCAGAGTTAGTAGCATTAGAAATGAATAGATCATGCCGTTGATCTTTGTATTCCGCCCAAACACTTGATTTCTCTAGTATAGCATTGACTTTTTCCCCTAGCAACAAACTTCTAGTCATAGCTTTCAAAGCTTTAACTATTTGAGCTTTGGTTGTTGCAGGATTTTCAATAGCATCTAATCGTCCCTCTAGTATGTTTAATAAATAGGGTACCATTTCAGCATCCAAAGCCTAAACATTCAAATTTAAAGAAAACATAATACAATATAATACAGGCGAAAGTATAATGTATAAACTTAAAATATTAATTATAGTGACACTAGTAGAAAAATGCCAATAAGAATAGTAATTTCTTATGCATAATGTACTGAATTTTTAACTCACTTGTTTTATAAGTCTATCTTCGTTAGTTGAGAATAACCTATTTAATGTCTCGCATGCTATTGCTATCATATCCCTCCTAGATTGCATCGCATGTTTCAATGGGCTTATGCATTCAGTTTGACAAATGGATGATATACAAATCTAAAAGTTTATGATTTACACGATCATATTTATTTAATATTAAAAAAAATTATGTCACTCACTTCACTGGTCGCTAATTGATGAAGTATTAATATCGCAGTTTTATACACAGATGGTTGATTATTTTGTATTGCCATTTGCCGACAAAGTCTAGGTATATGTCCTAACGATGGAACTTGGTCGGCTAAAGTTGGTTGTGCTTGAAGTAAACATACTAATGCTTGTGTTGTTAATTCCAACATGTCCGACTAATTAAAAGAATAATATATTTTTAAAATATTAGATACTGTGAAATACTGATGAAATTTCTTATTTATGATTAGTTAAATTTGAATATTACACTTACATCAGGTTTTTCTTTGGACATAAGTGTTAATGTGGTATCCATAAGTTCGCTTAAAAATTCTTTAGGTTTCCTAAGAGCCCATGCAGGACTAGCTACAAATAATCTCAGATATACACCACCCACTACGGGCTCACTTGTTGCGATATCAATATTATTCTGAGTATCAGGTAACTTTAATATTGCATTGGGATTTCGCCTTTGCAATGCATAATATCTGTAAGAAATTATGTATGGTACTGTAGTGACAGTTTCATTTCAAATTAATATGTTAAAACAGCATTCACATACTCCTCTTTTAATTCGGCGACAATCCTTGAGACTTTAGCTTTGGCATTATCATCCCAAATTAGTTCAGGATTCTCATGTTTCGTTTCAAACATGTGCACGCATTGTTTAGGAACATCCCGAATTGCTTCACTAAATAATCTAGGCAGAAATTTGGATAGATCTAATTTTACTTTCGGACCCGCCAACTTGTCGGACGACATTTTACCAAGCAATTCAGCAGCTGTTTCACGTATTTGTGTGTTACTTGAATTACAGAATAAATCAAGAATATATACAACAGCACCTAAACATTTAGAAAAATATTGTTTTCGGGAGATTATACGAAGAAATATGGAATACAAAATCTACTATATCACTATTCACCTTTAGATAGTGCATCCTTTACAATTTTTGTAGAACTCATTAGGGCATATAATGTTTCTAGTATAAGAAGTTGACACTCCTTTAAGGTATTTAATGATAATAACAAATATACCATAACTTCATTTGCCGCAATATCATCCACACACTCTTGATTCCTTGTAACACTACTAATCACCTCCAAAGCATGCTTTTGAATTAATTTGAAATTATTACTATTTAAAAGTCCAAATAATAATCTGAAATGCCCTATGCATTGTAATTCTATTCCTGGATTATTCTTGATCACATTTCTTAAGGCTTCTAGAGACATGACAATATGTTTTAATTTTCTTTGATCTTTCTTAGCTAGTGCTACATTTCCTATTGATGTCAAGTATTCCCATGAGTCCGACAAAAAGTCAAGTAAATTTATTGTAAAGCTTTTAGGATTCTGCAAAATATTTGTGGTTCGTTATTTTATTATTTCGATATTATTTAGAACAAAAAAGAATGTGTTACCTCTATCGGAAAAACAGGCTGCTCATTATATACTTTTACGAAAATCTCCCCAATAATAAGTTCATCTGCATGAGAACTATATTTAAAATCGCTAAAATCATGCTCAAAGGTTTCACTTCCATTTAATCTTTTTTGTCGTTTAGCTTCCAAATATTCGTTTAATTCTGCTCTTGTTCCGTTGTCCCAAATTAGATATGGATTTGAACAATTTGAATTCAAAATTTTCAATATTTCCTCCGGCTTGTTTTTTCCAAGTTGCCGTGCTAAGTAAGGTGTTAACAAACTTTCTAAAGCAGCTACCGTAACTGGATTAACAGGTGTTTCATTTTCTCCGGTCATGTAACCGCCTAATCTAGCACAAGCCCGTACAGCCAATTTAGCTAAATTATTTGCCACTTCTTGACGATTTTCGTCTTGATTTCTCTCAACGCCACCTTCTTCCAGTGTATAATCGTAATTAAACATAAACAGCAATAAATGCCACAAAGCACCTGATTGTAACAATTGCATTTGGAGTACACTGTCTGTAGCAAGAGAAGAGATGCACTCTGTGGCCACTGAACATAATTTTGTTAAATGCTGCACAAAACGAAAGTGTAAAAACATCGATACAACTATTAAATAATTATCTTCAATCATTGAATTAAAAACTAATACCAACCTTGAAATGTAATATTCTACAAATATCTTTAACCAGTTGTGGCAATTCAATAATTCTATCTTTGCAACCCCTAAACGAGCCAGCGACCGCGAAACATCTTGTTATATGCATACAAACTTGTACTGCTATATCATTAGGTTTGCTTGATTTATTTAAAACAGAAACACATCGCGTATAAGCTTCCAATAAAACATCTAATCCCCCTTCTCTACGGAGCTCCTCCGCGTTCAATGCAGAACACTGAACTGTATGATATGCTAGTTCACTGGCAGCGGCTAGTAACGGCGCGGACTTTGAAAACAACTGTTCATCATCTGTTTCTAATTTTATTGTTTTGATTAGTTGAGGATAACCGGCATATTTATATGGTCTAAGTTCGTCAGAATATCTATGGAATAGGATGCTTTGTGTTCTCAAAATAAGTACTATGTTGTCAGGATTCGGACCATCGGTAGCCCAACAACTCCGACTACATAAGAACTCGTATGCTTGATTAACTGCTTCGAATTTATCCTATGAATAAAAGTATACTTTTTTAAAATACCTCTTCTTTGTTATTACTTAAAATTCGAAGATAACTTACTCTTCCTTGAGGATTTTTATCAGGATGATACATTTGTGCAAGTTTATAGTATGATTTTCTCACTTCAGCCTCATTATGCTGTTTTCCATGAGACAACTGAAGAACTTTATAAGCTTCGTCCACTGTCATCAACGGTGGTTTTTTCTCTACTTCCTTCTTCCATGTGTCTAATACATCTTTAAATAGTCGTACCTAAATATTACATCGTACCATATCAAATGTGCACCAGAATCTTATGCATAAGCATTCTATAATTATTTGCTTCAACCACAACTTACTGGTTCAGGAATAGGCCATTGGGGGAATTTAACGGTATCACAAAGATGACGTAGATAAAATATTTGACAGAACAATTCTTTTTCTAATTGTGGATATCTGACTGCAGGTATAGCAATGTACTGATATCTTGCCATTGTGTGGCTTCGTAACTTTGGAGAAAAATCTGCAATATGTGTTGCTATCTTTTCTATGAGCATTCTTCTCATTTCAGCGTTCCAAATAGCTTCTGGCGTGTCGAAATCTCCGAGAAATATTTGTGCAAACTTTTCTGCGCCATGATTTTCTAAATAACTCACCATCGCATCGGGCAATAACTGTCCAAGAATACTTCGCTGCATGATATCAGACGCGACGTTCTTGAAAATAAGGTATACAATAATTACTTAGCGTCTTTTAAGTAATAAAAACAAATACTACAAGCTATACCTACATCATCACTCCTAAATGCTTGTTTCGTGTGTGTTAATTGCAAAAACCGTGCTATCGGTAAAACATTAGAACCAGTATACATTAATATGAAATAGAAGATACCGGTAAGATAGATTTTTGAAACATCTGCGTTATCCCGCATTATTTCACATAATAAAGTAGCTACTTTCTCAACTAAAACCGGATCAAAGGTTAATAAAAGTTGAACAATGTGAGGTAGGCACTGAAGATCAGATAATAACCGCTTCATGCGCGGTAAGGGTCTGATTACCGCGTCATCAACATCCCTACTTGGAAAATATTCACACATTTTGATTAAAATATCTAGGATTAACGTTGCCAATTCACTTTCATTTATTACTGGTGATCCTTTTGCGACTAATGTCCATTTCAATTGTGGGACTTGTGAAATCATTCGCCACCCGTCCAGTCCTTGTGCCCAAACTTTTGTTTTGTATGTAATTTGATTTGTTAAATACAACTCTTTCAAATCCTTCAAACTTATAGGACCTTTCCGCTGATCGCCATCGTTATAATACCATTCTTTTTCCATTATTTGCTGCTGCTGTGGTCCTGCTTCTATTACATTAGTTTGCGTCGGTACAACTGCTCGTGATGTATGTAAATGAGCTAACGTCAGTAGATCTACCAATGTGCGTACTCCATTTTGATCCATTATGTCTTTTACATTTCTCCTGTGCAATATGAGTTTATTTATAAACATGACTAATCTATCACGTTCCATTCTGTCCGTACAACGTTCCAGCATGCCTACAATATATTTTGTATCCGAAAATGGACCAATATCTTCATAATATCGTTCATATACTATAGTCATTGCTTGCAAGCAAAGGCACTTCATTTCAACTTTTGTTGTTAATATGAATCTATGGTACAAGTCATTAAAAAATTCATACCTACAACAAATGTCATTGAATTACTTGAAACCTAGAATAATGTTACATTAAAATGAAAATTAAATTGCTACACATACGATTTTCTTATTGGACTATCCGGACTATCTTTTTCCAACAAAAGCCTTAAGTAATAATCGCCAATTTTCACCTCGTCTGACAGGCACTGATACTGTACTTCAAATTCTCTATGATTCCAAGCAATTAGTGTCCCACCAGCCAAATCTTTATCAGAACAGAATGCGCGAATTTCATTTTCAAGTGCTGTTCTTAATTCCTCTCGTGTTTTATGGTTCCAAATTAAATTTGGCAGCGAATGATCCTGATTGAATTTATAATAAAACAAATTCCAATTCGCTTCTGATTTGATCCTTTCCCTTCGTTTCCTTAATACTATTGGACGTTCTTTAATTTTTTCTTTGCGCTCGATGCCGATCCTGGCTCCCCAATGTTGAAGAGCATGTTCCACGTGTTTCTCAACCACGCGCATTTGGCGCTCGATCGCAATCCACTGTGGGTTCTTCTTATTTTTCGATGCATGATCTATTGCTATTTTTAAATTGTCACGATTGTTCAATCTTTCTTTCTCAAGAAAAGACTCGGGAACCTTCTCATTGGAGTCTAAGTAATTTAATAAACCAACAGGCTGTACAAATGCACAATGAACATAAACTTAAATATTTTCAGTTTAGCAATTTAGTGAAAATAATATCGTATGTTCAGTCAATAATGTTAATTTACCATGATTCTTTTTAATAAACCCATAGCCGTAGGATGTCCTGTAACCCAGAGTCCTACAAGATGCCTGCATAACTGTCTATGTGTTAATAGTCTACCATCAGTGCCAACAGTGAAAAGACTATTTAGTAAATGTCTTGGCAAAGCTCCTTCAGCAAGTGCAAGTTCTTGCATTTTTGCTGCAACTTCTGGAGCACCTTCTTCAATAATTGCTCTCATTATTAAGCCTGCACCTTTGACGATAGCTAGCGATGGATGTTGAAACAATTTAAAAAGGGATCTGCCTCTAGCAGCAACCATTTCTAAGAGGTTGTCAAAATGTTTTCCATCAGTTGTTTCACTGTATGGTACACATAGGGCAAAAGTCAGAAGATCAAGCATGGCAGAAACTACCAGAGCGCCTGTACCATGATTCTAAAATATTTAAAAGTATAGTAGTATCTAAGAAAATCTTGTATACAAAAGAACAACTATTGTAAAACATAATAACAGAGTTTTTGAAAAATATTTTGAAGAGTAATATAAATTCATCTTTTCTACACTTACAATATGATTGATCCACATATCAAGTAAACTTTCCAAGAATTTGTTACTGCTGAGAAGACTACTTTTATTTAATTGTTCTTGTCTTAAGTCACAATCATCATGCATCGGCTGCATAAGAGCACAAATGCAATCTATAGCAGCCTGTGTTACACCGTAATCTTGCCTTTTTAAAGCTTTTACAACTTTATGACCAATTGATTCTCTGAATCCAGGAAGTGTAGTAAATGCAGTGAAACCAATTTTACTAGCAACTAATCTTCTCAAACAATGAAACTGTGCCTCTATTTCGCCATTTGTTTCTAAATCTCTGTTGACTACCCCATTTAGAGCACTGAGAATAATTTTATCTTTATTTTCAGTGAAAAGACCCTGTAAGTAGTTTAGCATCACATGATGTACTTTAAGTTGTAACGTTGTTACAGTCCATTCAAGCGGTGTTACATCCTAGACAAAAAAGAAAATGTACTTTGAATTTACTATGATATTTATTTATTAAAAAAAGTACATGTTACTCAATGTTAAGCTTGCTAAGCTTTGAAAACTCTATACAGGCCTTGATCAAATAACATGCATAATTTCTTACAAAGAAATAAGAAATGGGCGTAAAATCAAATTTGTTCGCCCTAAACTTACTTTTTCGAGGAAATCAAGTTTAAAAATCCACGGTGTATGTATATAGTTATAGCTAAAATATGTTATAACTTATAACATCCATTTTGTTTATAAGTCCTACAGCGAATTGCATATGCATGTGGTGGATTTTCAAATTCGATTTTTTTCGAAAACTAACCCTCGGACGAAAAAATTTTATTCTGCATGTTTTCCTTATTTTTTCATAAGAAATCACTTCATGTTCGGTTTTACATATTATCCGCCTAGCCCTCGTATAAAATCTGCGACACAAAGAGTAGTCAGTAATACTGAAAAGCAAAATATAGAAACTGTATAATATTAAAAATTATTTTTATATACAGATATTCATTAGTAATTTAAATTTAAATTACAAAATGACATTATTCAAGTTACTTTAGCTAAATATAAATATTTTCTCTTTCTATAACTTTTGTTATAGCACAAGTGTATTTTAATGCATTATTGTCATTGTTATTACCGCTTCAATGTACTGTATTGATATGAACATTCACATATTAACGAATATACACACAAGATTAACATTATTTAAGTTCAATGATAAATACATATAATAAATAAATATATATGTATATATAGTCTTACATCTTGGGTCACAGAATAATTCAGACCACTGTAGGGAATGTTTGCATTAAATCTTTCCAAAATTTCAGCAAATGTACGTCCACTAGGTGGTTGGTGTAAAAATTTAACATGAGATGTTTCAACTTCTTCATCAACTGGCAAATTCAGAGGTCCAAGTCTTTTTCCTCGAGGAATTGGATACATTCTGACATGAACATCTCTGTTACCAGATGCTCTAACACCATCCAATAAAGATGCCAGTAAAGAATCTCTATCTGTTGCAGTGTAACTGCGTGACTGATTATTAAGGTATTGTATAGTGAATAGTTGTGGGTTTTCATTATCACGAATCAAAGCAAAAATGTCTGACAATGGCCTAAGAGTACAAATATTATATGTTTGAGGATCTCTCTCCAATAAACAAGTGTCAGAGAGACAAAGAGTTCTTCTTTGTGGATCTATATGTCTAGATGAATATTTGTGAACAGTAAACTCTGAAACACTTGTTATATGTTCATCCCCACTAAATTTGCCCAATCTTTGAGCAACAAAATCATCTAATTTGATTGGTTCTTTCAAAACTTTTATTGTAATGCCTAAATTATTCATAGCTGAATCATGTAACTTTTTCTTAATTTCTTCCATGTGTTGAGAAGCGAATAGATGTAAACGTCCAAATCCGCCACATACAATTACAAATCCATTAGGATAATCTTTCATTGTGGCAATTCCTTCAAAATCTTTGTAACAATAACTGGCTAATACCATGTTAGTAGCTGGATCTAATTGGTCAAGACTAAATGGCGTTACTTCTAATACAACAGGTAATCTTGTATCGGACCAATGATGTTTGTAAGCTTGGTATCTCTGTCATAAGAAAATATATAATTTAATCAAATTAAAATTAAATAAATTATTTCATAAAATAAAGGAAAGAATATATTCATCATTCCTTACTATTATAGCATTATTTAAATTTTTCTCATTTATAATGCAACGCAGAATAGTTTAATCAAAATGATACTGCCATATGGCTAGATTGATAACATGCCTGGTTAAATATCAGTTCTACAACTTTCTCTGATAAGCTTTATATAAATTACATATAACTCACCAAAATTTCTTTAGGTTTTTCAACGAATTGATTCCTATACTTAAGAGCCTCAGTTAATAAATCAGCTCTGTATTCTGAACTAAATTTCATATTGTCAACTTTACGTTCTTTGCGCATTGTTATGCTAAATTCATGCGAGCCCAACTGATTTCTATTTGTCGGTTGCACACTTATAAAATCTGAGTATTCCCATTTGTTTGTGACTTCTAATGTAGTAGGATTATATGTTGTTATACCCATGGATCCAATTGAGAAAATACGTTTGTACCTATAATGTAAGATACAAATGTCATCTTTGACATTATAATAATATTCCTGAGAATATCTGAAGTAATTAATAGTACAATGTATTCTATAAATATTTCTAAACATTTTTAATTAAATAACGAATATTTTTATTAAATATTTCAAATATTAGCTATGGAACCTTGTTAATCCCAATACATGTACATAAATAATGTGTGATTGACTATTTTTAGATAGCAATATACTTCTTTAGTACACACTAGATTATCACACAATATTAATACAGTATATTACTTTATTATAACATTTAAACTTTAGATAAATAAAAGCATAACAACAAGTTGTTTTATCATATAAACGATTTGTTACATGTATCTGTTGATAAAGTATCAATTTTATTATTTACCATACATGCAATTACAAATTGTTACACTAGAACAATAAATTAGTGAAACTTTCAATGCGATATAACGATCAAAGAAACATATACTTACTTTCCCTTCCACGAGTGTTTGGTGACCAGAAAGCACGCCACATCCTGGTTATCCTTTATCGGCATCATTGTAACATGTCCTGACAATGCAATACGTGTATTATTTTGAATAATGTCTGAACAAAACACTGATTACTATCTGTAAAAGACGAGTAGCGTAGGAGGAACATTCGCATACGAATTGAAAAGAAATCACACGGAAGTCATCCCCGAAATGGCGAATACGGGCAATATGAAATACAATTGAACTGTGTTCACGATATTTACACTCGTCGTATAAATGAAGGATATTTAGGCACTGTTCGATAGCATTTCAGCCAACAAATGTCATTTTTAACGGCTCCATCGGACTGGGAGCGGCCATGATGCTCGGGGGTGTTAACAAACAGCTGTTTCCAGATGGCAGAGTAGTCAGAACAGAAAACTTGTTTCATTTGCATATACACACTCCTGTTTTTTCCCGCTCGCTTAATGTACTTTTTATACAGTATTTAGTTTTTTTAAAATTGTTTTTTAACAATAGAGATATACATTTCGAAGGATAGAGTGGAAGGTAAAGAATAGTAATATTAAAAAGAAGAATGGAATAAAATGATTTAGTTCTTATTATTGGTGATATTTATTATGCTATTTACAAACCGTAAACTTCGTAGTGACATTTATTCATGTAATGAAATCATTCATGTTACGTGTCACGCAATGAATGAATGTGTGCGAAATAATGTGACTAGAGTTTACTTCAAAATGTGAATAGACTTTAATATTTCATTGTATATAAAAGTTATCTTTTATATCTATTTATATTGTAAATACTTTTATTTGTAAAATAACAGTGCAATTTAAATATTTTTAATTAAAAT